AATCGGGTTGCAACCAGAGTCACGGAACGGATTAAATTCGTAACCCGAGGTACCACTGTAATTGAAAACTGTAGTTTAAATACTACAGATAAAGCACTGAAGCTCTTCCACAAGAAGAGTGAATGCACTGTTGTGACACTTACCCTTGCCATGATAAGCCATGTTTATTACACCAAGAATGTTTCAGAATGTTATAAAAGCTATGCATATATAGAGTTAATATGATTCTATTATAGCTACAGATGCCAGCAGATGAAAACCTTGAAGAATGTTGGATTGACTTTAATGTTGGTAGTAGAAGTATATCCTTCTATGTTGCTGCAGATGATAAAGTAGGTTAAGTTTTCTTTATTGAACAAAACTTTTAGATTGTAACAACATTTTTAGTTACCAGAATCAGAATAGTGTGATCGTGAAAGTCAGTGTTCAAAGAAAAGCAGTTGAGTTTTAATGTGATGCAACTTTAAAATATAAAAAAGAATCCAGTGTTTTTAAAATATGTGGTAGAGAATATCAACACATTTCTCAGTGTTATTTTGCAGATGCATGTTTTTTTTCAGATTAATAATTAAGCTTTACGGTATCTTGTACATGCTCCCCCTCTTCCTGATGAAGATCAGTTCCCTTCTGCTGTTACTTAGGCATTCCATTATCCAGTAATCTCCTTACCAGCATGACAGATACAGTCTAAGATTGATTGTTGATGATTCCTAGATGGATGATTCTAGGGGACTTCCATGTATATGATGAGGCTGTCCTATTATGTTCAAGTCAGGATGACACATGACAGCACATTTAGCAGGTTACATTCTGGATTTGATTTTCATGGTTGGGCAGGAAGAACTAAAATGGCTGATCTAATACTTAGCACAGTGCCATGAGGAGATAATTGACTGCTGAGACTGAAATTTGCAGCGGCTTTCCCAATTCATAAGGATGGAATGGAAATTAGAATAGATCTTGCAGGCAAATGCATTCTGATGGTTTCTTGATGCCTCTGGAAATGTTTTCTGGTTAGTTTGGCTGATGTTCTCATTAAAGTCCTCTTAAACCATAATACCACAGGGTCCATATCGCTGAGAATGGGATCTAGATATACTCCAAAAGAGTTATTTTCCCTGATCCTAAGTGCCAAATGTCAAGTTTGGAAAATCTTTTGTTCATGCTCTTAGTGTCCCAGAGCACTCAGAATGACTATTTAATATAATGTCAGATACTGTCAAGCCATTGTGATTAATCTACTTAACTGTTTAATTCCACCTTAATATTTACTGCTCATAATATAAAAAAGCCCTTAATTCACAGGCAAAATATTTGTCCCTTTTCAGGAAAGGCAACTGACTGCTCATATTGGTTCCATATTCTCTGGGGACACAAAAGAGGGGTGAAGAAGAGTTTTATAACTCTTATTTTAAGCTGTAAGATTGTGTGCACATACAGAATGTATCCTATGGTTACCTAACCTTTCCTTTGGTAAAGTTATTGGCAAAGCCAATATTCCTGTTTTGGTCTGTTGGGGAAGGAAACATGTATCAGAGACAAAAGTTAACATCATTAACACAAACTACTGACAAACAGTTGGTCATCCTGGAGAAATATATTTTAGAAATACTACACCAAATATTCAGCTATGATCTATAACAGTTAACAATATCACACTTCCTTACTTTTTCCATGAATTTAATTTTTAGGGTCATCAGTGGGAAACCGTGTGCATACCAGAAGAAGAAGTTGGGACCTACGTAATTGAAGGTACTTGAGATTTCAAAGTATTTCTTATTTTCAGAATTTTAAAGATAAATATGGTATTCAAAGTTGCTCATTTCTATTTCAAAGAAACTTTTACTACCTTATTTGTGTGTTTTTTCGATGTTTGCAAAGCAAATACGTTACTTCCAAATAAACAGCTATTTAATACTAAAAAGATAAGTTTGATCTCTCTATAGAAAAAGAAAAAGAGAAGTTGTTAACGGTACATCTAAAGAACCCAATGTCTGTTGGTGCCCAGGAAGGTGAGAAAATAATCTTGCATTTCGATTCTGCATTGGAAATTGTGGATGCAGTAAGAAAAATTTATGATGCAACAAAATGTCAGGTAACACCTTTTTCTTTTTCTCTTGTGGAATAAAAATGACTAACCACTGTTTACTGTTATATTTGCAATTGGTCATACTTGTTTATGCATAATTGTATATAAGCAGTTGAAGATAAGTGTCTCAAGTATAAAGCAGTATAATTCCAGCAGTTATTGTCTGAATAATTACAACCACAATATAAGGAAGGAATGAGATACACATTCATCCACATTTTTTAAAATAAGTAATTCTGTAATATTCCTGGGCTTTGAATTACCATGTAAAATAATAATTCATAAATATTTCACATCTAGAGAGCCAGTTTGGTGTAGTGGTTAAGGCATCAGGCTAGAAAGCAGGAGACTGTGAGTTCTAGTCCTGTCTTAGGCACAAAGCCAGCTGGGGGACCTTGGGCCAGTCACTCTCTCTCAGCCCTAGGAAGCAAGGCAGTGGCAAACCATTTCTGAAATCTTGCCAAGAAAACTGCAGGGACTTGTCCAAGCAGTTACCAGGAGTCAACAGTGACCTGAAGGCGCGTGCGCACACGCGCGCACACACACACACACACACACACACAGACTTCACATCTAGTTTAAAAATATTGCACTTGCAGTGTTACTGTCAAGTAAGATGAAAATGAAAGAATTGGAAAAGCTTTGCAAATATTTTGTAAACCGGAGGATTTGTTTCCCAAGTGAAAGAGAAAAACAAAACAGATTAATGAATCCCTTTTTTATCATAATAGCACATTTACTGTAAGTAAAAGTAAGCTAAGCTAGAACGAATATGAACTTCTTATGTAATGCTTTCCTTTTGGGGGGTTTTTTCCCCCCTATATCTTGCTTCAGGGGTTTACAAGGAAGAATACTGTGTCGGTTGCAAAAACAACAGTGCATGTAGTTTTTGATGAAAGTGGATCACAGGTATATATTTTAGTTACAAATGTTAAATATTTAATATATGTATTTAATCTGGGCAGTACATATGGAATGAAAACATTAAAGCTACAGATGGTATACATTTTTTAATTTTTGGTCAACATATCGTTCAATTTTATTTAAAAAATTCAACTGGCCCCTGTCCAGCAAACAATTGGTTCTTTATATGTATGAAATTACATATTTACATACGAGGTTTTACTCATTATCTTTATAAACATTCTCAAACCTGTGATTAGGTGGTATTTCTATTAATATATAAGCGCAAAATGTTTCCTTTTTTAGAGAAACACCCATTAAAATTATATGTATGTATGTTAGAACTGTGTCAGTTATTTGAAAGAAATGCTTTGTAAAACAGATTAACACCAATTTCCAGTCTCTTTAACATACTAAAAGAGCCACTTGCTTTGCAAGGCTCCTGTGACTATATACAGACCACATTTCCACTGGGACCACCAGTGAAGTAAAGTGACTCTGCATGCACACCCATGCGGAGATCGCTGGGTCATCTTTCAAATGAGTTTCTTAAGCCGCACGTAGAGTACAATTGTATAATTTTTCAAAGAGGAATCACCTCTTTCACATGCCTTATACAACCTCAGTGTATATGACTTAAAAATTCTGTTTCAGTCAGTCAGAAAGGACACATTATCTACCTCATAAATATTAATAGCAGAAGAAAAGTGAAATTGTCAGTTCAACAAGAAAACTAACCATTAGTCCAGATGCTATTTATCCCAGCATTCTTAAAAGGACTCTATCAGATTTTCTAAGAAAAATACATAACTTGTCTCTGGGTTGAATCTGTTAGAACAGTGAAGCTAGTTTTTAACAATTGGAAATTACAGGGTGATTAGTCTAAACCATAATATTTCTAAGCATTATTATACCAATGTCATATGAAATTAATGGGGAATTCTGCTTAAAAGTGAAAATATAAAATTTGCTGTTTTGTTAAAACAAAAGGAGAGATGAGACCACACAAGCTGAAGGGAGGTTTAGATAGTCCTTCTCCCTCTCCCTCCCTCCCTCCCTCCCTCTCTTGCTGCCATCTACTGGTCAATAGGTCTAACAGTTGACCAGTCACCCCACAGTTTTCTGGTCTAAAAAAATTCAGACAGTGGTCAGTACCATAGGAAAGGAAAAAAAAAATACATTGCATGAAATAATCAGAGTATTGTGGATGACAGTTGGAGGAGGCCTTTCATGTAGTGGATGATGTTGGGTGAGGCTGGAATTTCAGATAAGGGAACCACTAATCAGTGTCCTTAGAATTTTGTGGGTCAGGGTTAGGGCTTCTGGAGATCTAGAAAAAAGCCAACAACCTTATAAATGTTCTCACTGCTGGCTGGAGTTTAGACTTTTTATTTGAAAGCATAGTAATAATGGGATCTTTTAATCTTTAAAATAAACTGAATAGGTTCTTATACCAGAAAGTCAGGTATCACCTTTGAAAGAAAAAGAATGTAAATCACTGGAAGAAAGAAATAGTTATTCCTCTCAACACCAATATCCTCAAGCAGAGAAAAATCTAACTAAAAAAACAATTGAGGTGGACTTCCAAACAGGTCAATCCAAGGTAACTTAATTTTTTAAATAGAAAAGAATTCTTGTTTTGTGATATTTGGTTAAATATATGAATGCTAGGTTAAATTATATTTTTCATTTTATTTCAAGACCACCCCTGGTAAAAGGAAAATGTCTGAGGCATCAATGATTGTGCCATCCACTTCCAGGTTGTCTGTGTGGAGTCCATTTCCATTAATTAATACTTGTAAGTTAAATAGGATATAGTATTGTGCCTTAATTCAGTATGCTGTTAGTATATTTTATTAGTTTTAGAAAATGTTCCTCTGTCACCGTTAGCCAACAGCTATTATTAGCCTCTAGAAATGATGTTATAAGTTTGTGGGTTGGTCAAGATGACCCCACAGGATCACTTCAAGTTTTGTAATTTTTTACTCTATGATTGCCTGTAGCATGAGTATCATAAGCAGTAACATTTAAGGTCTAGCAAGTTGATAATTATCATATTCTGATTCAGTGGGAACAGAATAGCCCAGAACGTCTTATTGATAAGCTGAGATGAGTTATGTGTCTTCCTTCCCCAGCCCTAGACTTGGCAAGGGTGAGTGAAGTGTTTATATGTAACAGGAGACTAGTCTGTGGTGGATTTAATAAAGAAATAGAGAACTGAGCTTCCTCTTCATTGGAAATCCTATGGCTTTAGGGAGTTCGATAATCCCTAAATAGGAATATTTCCTCCTGTGAGCTATGGAAACTGAATTCTGGGTAAGCACTGGAGGCTGTGGTAACTTCCTGCTATTCCAAAGTGGACTTATGTATTTGCTTACTTATGCCAGATAGAAGTAGCAGGGAAAAAGTTCATGACTGTCATCAAGAGATGAAGGGAAAATACAGTTTAGAAAATCCATCAGTAGCATTTGTACAAATCCAGGTTCTGTGGAAACAATTTCACGTACCACCCCTCTGGATTCTTCTTATGAGAATGCCCAAATTACTAGCAATGATGGATTCTGGAGAAGAGCAACTCCCTATGTTTAGTTTCACTTTAAAAATGCAAACGTCTAGATTGCATTTTGTTTACACCCAGACTGCCTTCTACCCTTCCTTGGTTGAGTGGGAGGAAATCAGAGGGAATATCTTGACCCATCTTAGCTGCCATTGACATGTAGTACTTGGGTTATCAGTAATCTTGTATGAATTCTTAAGAGGCATCTCCGGGTGGCCAACATTGGTTAATCCACTGTGAATCTGAAGGACACCTTGAACCAATTCTTTTCCATTAAACAATGAATTCCATAGTCCATTTACTGTAATTTTAGTGGAAACAGCACAAAACAAGTTACATTAACACAAATGAACTATGGGTTCCTTCCCAGCAACTCCACGAAAAGGGAAGATTAAAACCCCTCTTCATATGATGAGCTTAGTGGAAAGAAATGAAATTTTCTCAGTACCTGAGACAAGAGCAATGAATACTGGTCGAGAAGACAGTTATGCCTCTCTGCTTTCCGCAACCAAGGCTCTTAAAAGGAATAATTCTGTTGAGAAGGTAACTATTTTAGATTTGTATAACAAATTCAAAGCTGAAAACTGCATGGACTTTTTCTAACCTCCAAAGATTGGTTAAAAGCTACACATTCCCCCAAATAGTAAGCTTTTTTTAACTGAGAATTAATGAAGTATACAAGGGAGATGAAAAATTTTTAATTTGATGCAGATCATTTTTGGTAATGCCAAAAGTGGATCTCAGGAAAAATAATCATTAAAAAAGGAGTGAAAGAAACCAAAGTGAACTAGAATATTTGCAAGAAGAGAAAGTACAAGCTTTATATGAGAAAATATCAGAGGACAGTTAATCTTCCAACAGGTTGATTGGAAAGTAGATATAAGAGGATGTGAAAATTGCTTGGGAAAATAATTACATGACAGAGTGCCACAGACATGTGTGAAGTTACACTAATGGAGGCATGAAAAAATGAGTATGAGAGAAAGATATTATGTAATGTTTATAGAGCAAAAAAAATTAGTTGCAAAGAACATAGTCAAAGAGCATGGAACAGTTAACATTAAAAGAGGCATACAAATCGATGGAAATAAAATATTGATTTGGAAGTGGGTGCAGAGGGTTAAACAGAAAGCCTCTAGCAGAGTGAATGGAATAAATGTAATCAAATTATTTGGGGTGAAATGAGTAATTGCTGGAACTGAAGTGAGGAAATGCTGGAAAGATTTTTAAAGAGATTTTTAAGGAATGTTAGTGATATACTGAAGAATAGAATTGAAACAAATGCTCCAAATAATAGTGCCCCCCAAAAATGAGATAAGGCAGATAACAACTTTTGTGAGAAAGTTGCAAAATGCCACGGCTACAGATGTATATGGGGTAATTGGGGAAATGTTAGAATATGATGTTTGTTTATGGAGCAAATTTGTTTAATGTGTGTGTGAAGACTGCATCTGTGCCCAATAATTGGAAAAATATGGCTGTTGTTTCCCTATTGAAAGGGAAACATAGTAAGAGTAAATGCAAAAACTAAAGGGGGATTATTTTGCTATATTTGCCCAGAAAGGGTTTTGGCAGAATTCTGATCAAAAAGGCAGAAGAGGTGCAGCGAGCAAAATTTGGGAAATTTTATGTTAGGCAAGGGTCATTTTGCTCTCCTGCAAATTATTGAGAAATGTATGAATGTGATAAAAAATGTTTATTGTATGTTTGCTGATTTAGAGGAAGCATAAGATAAAGTGAATAGGCTTATGGAATATTTTGTGAATATGGAATTGAAAGTTGGTTGCTGAATACAGAAAATGTGTGAGATTAAATGA